TCACTCCTGAGACTTTAGCTGTGAGGCCATTGCCCTTGGGTGGCCTTGAGGACTTACCTAGCTCACAAGCATAATGCCAGATTTGGCTCCTCTCTCCAGCTCTGAACAGCTTTGAGAATATTCAATGTATAAATGCCTAAATGAAGAGTGGGGCCCAGTGTTTGCTGGGGCAAGCCCGCGAGTGGCATCCAGAGCAAGTGGAAGGGGATTCCCGTCCTGTCTGGTCCTCACTGGATGGCGGACCGCCTTATGTCCTCCTGGGCATCAAGAATCAACAATCCAGAGATGAGACCCCATCAATGGAGTCTCATCAATGAGAGAAAACAATGAGGTCTGTATCTCAGTTTTCCCTCCTCAGAGCATGGCTGGAACACACTCTGTAGGACAGAAGAAGGAAGTGATCCTCATTCATGATACATTTGTTTCTGTATGTGAGTTGTTGAATAAGATTATACAAATCCTCATTTTCACTAACCTGCAGTGACCTTTATTTCACCGTGCCACCATGATGAAGAGCAGTGGAAATAACGGACTTGGGGGTTATATCTTGGCTTCATGACCCTGGGTTCAAGATCTCTGATTTAGCAGAGGCTAAAGAAGAAAAGCCATGTACTGGGTAATGCATATTTTGGAACTTATTGTTATCCAAGTGTTTATTGTGGAATTAAACTTTCATATGACATTTTTGAACTCTCATTTTACTGTGGGAATCTATTAATGGGAAGGGTTCATATTGTTCAAATTAGGGGCATTTTATGCCAACTTGTGACTCTTTTGGGATAGGGGAAACTAATATGTGTTAAAAAATAAACTGGGGCACATTAAAATTTTCAAGAGTTTATTTAAGCATACATCCATTCAAACTGGGGTGGCACCAAACTGAAATTTATCAGGAGCTCTCCACTGACAGGAGCTAGGAGAGAATTTTTTATAGAAAAGGTATGGAAACAAGGGAAGGAAATTATTTCATTGGCTATAGGCTAAGTGGTTGCCTTACTTGGGAAAGACAAGTTGGCTGGTTCTGCTTGGTCCTTCTTATGTTTCATTATCTGAATTGAACTCATTGGCTCTGGCTTAGGTTTGGTTTGTTTGCACAGGCTACCAAGGCCTTAGAGCTACCCGAGTCTAATAGTTGCCTCATTTAATTACTTAACAGATGGGTTTATGGTGAGTTGGAAAATAGAAAAGAGGGTGAATTTTTGGCTTAGTGCAATCCTGTCCTGGCCCATTTTAGAACCTTTGGGGGAAAAATATGAAATTCCCTCCCACTGGTCTCAGAGAGGGATAAGTATCAGGGGAAGAGACAACTGAGTGAAGTAATGGGAATTGCCTCTAACCCAAGGCCTGGATTGACTTAAATATTCTCATTTAAGCCCACTGGTTGAGAGACAGCTAAAAACGTGCAGCATGGGGCTCCAGCAATCAGGAAAGGGAAATTCTAAGCATCTCTCCTCACCTTAGGAAAGTTTCCCTCCTTGATCCTCTGAGTCCACAATCTCCATTATTCCTCTCCAAGAATAAGTAACTCTCAAGTGATTGGTTAGCTTCTAAAATGCAGTCTTTGAGTTCTAACTGGTCACACTTACCCGTAGGTGGGATTCCTATGCTACACCAGGGTACCTAGCCTGGGAGTTTCCTCTCTTCTTGTCTTCTTGTCTTTGCTTCTGTGGTGCTGGATGGGAAAGCTGAGGCAGTGTATACTCAGTGCAATGGGCGGGCCGTCCTTTTTCTACTTCCTCTCTCTCACTTGCATGCTGCATCTTGCAGCAAAAATCTTTAACTCACTGACCAGCAGGTGTTAACAATGGCATTAAGAGACAATCAAGAATATTTCTTTGGACTTTGTGCCTGAGTTTGGGTTCCATCCCAACTTCATCAGAGAACCTGGTTTATGGTTCTAAGGGTTTATGGTCACCAGCTAACTAATAAAACAGTGCCTTAATTTTTAATAGATATTCTTCATGTGTGAATATCTCCCTCAGGAATCTCATACAGAATAGAATAGTTATTATTGACAGTACAGAATTTGTGAATTTGAGGAATCCTTGACTATTAGAGGGACCGATTGTTCTGGTTTGCCTGTGACTGAGGAGTTTCCTAGGATACGGGACTTCCAGTGCTAAAACCAGAAAAGGAAACTCCCAGGCCAGATACCCTGGTGTACCCTGTGACAAACCCAGATGAGTTGGTCACCCTGACTGAAGTTCCATTTTAATTCCATTAACCCCAAATGTAAATTTAACTGGTTGTGGAAACTTGGCTGTTACCAACCCTCTCTGAGCTTTAAATCTCTCACTTGCAGAAGAGTTTTTATGAATGTTAAATTAGACCACATTAAATTTCCTAGTGTATGTCCTGGCACATAGCAGATAGCAAATTAATATGTTTCTGTTTCATTTTGTTACTTTATTGTTACAGCAGAATATAAAATGAGAAGAAAACACAAAATAGGAGGAACTGAAATACTTTTCTGAATCAAAGAATTGGAGAAGTTTTCCTGAGCCCCCTTTTCCATGTTAATGTTAAGCAGCCTCAGGACTGGACAGTGAAATAGCGAATGTATGCCATTCCTGGTATAGATGGGGAGTCACAAATTCAGATAACTGCAGGGAACATGAATGCGGGAAATTGGATGAATGGGACCTATGGCAAACAATGGCCACTTAGCCCTAACACCGTGGGAGGGGGGACCCACTGTGCCATATCTGATCAGTTTTTTTCTAGAAGAGTCATGTGCATGATTTTTAAAATATGAAATGTACTTATTTGAATATGTTGACATCAAATTTGGGACTTTTGAAGACAATGTATTAGCCAATTAATACATTCCAAGGGCTTTTAATTCTCTTTTTGTTTTATTGGGTAAGAGTGAAATCATATGTCATAATAAAACCAAAGAAAACTTTTTCTTACTAGATAGAATAATCATCATTAAAAGGAAACCAAAGTAGCTACATGATTACTGAAAAAAAAAAAAAAAGGTAGGAATGACAAAAAATTTTAGAGACGGAGAAATCTCTGAAATACAAGGATTTATTAAGCCTTTATACATGCTAGCCAGGTACAGGACTGGGTCCTGGGACAGGAAGTTTCTGCTTCCCCAGCAACAAAGCCATTTACCAGAAACAATTTGTGTGCTAGACTCAAAATACAGGGCACATTTATGAGGGGTCTCAAGGAAAGAAAGTTCTTTAAATTCACATTGATCATAGGTAAGGAAGTCGGTCAGTGTGAAGTGTGGAAAGTCTGGGGATAGGTGCTGAGTCCATCCACAGAGAAGGCTCGTGGGTTAGCTGTTGATGGTGGTCACACTGTCATGCTCAAGGGGGATTTTCCAGCTGCACTTGTTGAAATAACTTCATCCAGGAACATGGAGTTTCTGGTTAGCTAAGACCTGTGGCTATTGACTGAGTATCTTCTCATGTCTCTCTCTCTGCTATCTGGCCCTTACATCAGTTTAGGACATTTCAGAATTTTTCCTTATCAAGAAATTGCCAGGTTTTGAATTTGGGTTATCTTGTAAATCCAACAACTCAAGAGTAAACCTGTGGGGTTGCAAGATTATAAAGGTAGAACCTGCTAACAAAGCTGCATGAAATGCTTGCAAGCTTTAGCTGACAGATTTCAAAACAGTTTGAATATTAGTCATCACAGATATGCCTGCCAAAAAGGGTAGTATGTTAAAAGAACATCTGTAGCCCACATAAATACCTCCTGCTGAGTTAAATTCAGGCAGGAAATCAGCTTCCAAAGTTACAGAAGGCAAAGAAGCTGAAACAGCAGTTTTATATTAAGTGGTTAATAGACTTTCTCTGTGGGTGAAACTGCTATTGAGGAGCTAGTTAGCTCCCAATATATTACATATTTGACCTCCAGCTTTGGGGACATGATCTTTTGAGGATATGTTTGGGCTCATCCTACTCAGTGAATCACTTACACTGTATAAATTGAATACTAATTCTGTCAAGTATGAGGACTTCAGATAATTAATACTTCTGAGTTACATAGTAATATCATGAAATGATGAAAAGCCTTACTTAACCCTGGGATGTGTCTCATTGCACTATAGGAGCAATAAAGCCAACAATCATAACAATTGCTAAGAAAGCAGCAGAACTGGTGGTAGCATTGTCTTGAACTCTCTCAAAAAGCATTCAAATATGAATTCAAACAGAACCAGCCTGCCAAATAGGAGGTGATCTGAAGAATCATCATTGTTATTACCTGAGCCATGTGATTCTGGAGCCTTCATTGCTGGTGGCAGACTATTCCTCAGTGAGCCACATTGTTTTGCTAAAGGACAGAGAAGTTTTGTGATGTGTGGTGGCAGATTTCTGTAGGTCCTAAATGTCTGAGCCAGAAGGTCTACAAAGAGAAATCCATGTATGTAGCATTACTGAAGGTGTGGTTTTTTTCCCTCAAAGATATGTCTTTTGTATTTTTCTTTTTTGATACAACATATCCAAATAGCTCAGGTATAGAGACGAGGACATAATTTTCTTTTTGTCTTTTGCTTTCATCTATTCTTGATAAAAGAAAAACGATTCAGAGTTTAAATGCTGCTCTTGAGAGAATCGTATACTAAATTATTTCTTGCTTCTCATCTTAAAAAAAAAAATCCCTAATCATTTTAGGTCAAGCAGAGATATCAATCCCCATCACATTGATAGGCCTTGATTGGAGAGGAAAAATCTCCCATGGGAGTGAGGTTATGATTCAGGAACTGACATTTTGAACTTGGAAGATGTTGCCATTGTAAGGTGATTTGTTTTGTTATTAATCTTCAATTCACTGATTATACAGCTTAACGAGACTTGTTTGCAACGATAAGATCATGACTTAAGCTCTCAGAGAGGCTGCTTGCAGGTTTGTTCAGTATGCAAGATCATTTCGTGGAATGAATCCTTTAAAGACAGTAAGAATCAATGATGAAACCACTTTCCGGAGTTTGAAAAGAGACGGGGCTGCTTTAAGAGAGAAACAGGAAGTTGTAACTAGAAGCCATCTGAATGCTAAGCCCAGGCAGACTGATCACGAAGTGGCAACTTAAGTGGCAGTATCTATACTGAAATCGTCAGGCAGCCAGACCGTTTGAAGCAAATATTGATAAAGTAGCCCTCACCTAATTTTTTATCTAAGGAATCTCAGGAAGACGGGAGAATGGACAGACAGCAAAGATTCACGTCTGAGAAGGATGAGTATCAGTTTCAACATCAGGGAGCCGTGGAGCTGCTTGTGTTTAATTTTTTGCTCATCCTTACCATTTTGACAATCTGGTTATTTAAAAATCATCGATTTCGCTTCTTGCATGAAACCGGAGGAGCAATGGTGTACGGTGAGTACAGAAATTGTAGGGTTGATGTGAAACTTGTTGCTTGGGCGTAATTAGAGACTTGTGCTCAGATGGCAAAGTACCGACACCGGAGAAAATGTGCTGATTGAAATGTCATTAGCTTGATGAAAGGTGCTGCAGCATAATGAATGTTCATCTCCTTCCAGACGAGCTGCCGAAATTTGCCTTGTCACTAGAGTAAATGTCACAGTCATGTTCTCACGCGGCACAGAATGCAAGTTTGTTGATAGATGTGGGTCCATTGTCATGTGGGGAGTCAAACCCAGCAAGCCGTTTGTTTTCCTAATGATAGATGTTGAGAAGCCACAGCTCTGCAGGTACAAAGAGCTGCCGTCTTTACAGTGGGGACTGATATGCATTATAAAGTTCTAGAAAAACATCACTTAGAAACATGGAGTAAATCCTCTTAGGTCAACTAGTTTCAAAAAGAAAACTTGGAGAAACATACTCCACTCCTCCTACTGGAATAATTGTGTCCAAATCCATTTTAATTATATGACCAATGCTTTATTTTCCTATAATATATACAAGTTTCTTAATGGAGTACATGTCATTTCTTATCCTGCTTTCAGACTTTCTAATTTATAATTATTGTCATTATTAGTATTATTTGGTGTGCATCCTTTTTATGGGGGTGGGGTAGGGGGTGTAAAGTATTTGTTTAACATCTTAAACTCCCAAAGTATTGCTCTCTCTCTCTCTGCAATTTACCATGTCAGTCCTTTCTAAAGTTTAATAAAATGTGACAGAGATTATCCAAGCTGTACTCTTATCTTTTAAAGTAAAATGCAAGACACTGGTAGTTTTAAAACTTATTTGCCTGGATAGGAACTTTGAATACAACGGAAATAGGTAAGGCATTGCTATAATTTATAGCAAAGAATATCCTTTTACATTTTGCTTACTTCAGTTTGGAAGTCTTGAAGCCTTTCAGGTCCCTGAGGTTCAGGGAACAGGATCAATGCACACTTTGTATGCTAACCACATGAAGTCCTGATGATAACAATGTACAGTTATGATTTGAGACCATAAGAAATCCTATGCCTTAACTGGATCCCACTGTGGGATAGTTGACCTAGGAGGCAGAAGTTTCAGCCTAAGCAGTGTAATTTCTTTCAGGAGAGTGATGTGCTAATCCATTCATGTATTGAGGGTCTTAAAGAACAAAACTTTTATTTAGGGGGAAAAAAACTCACAATCAGGCTGAAGAGAAATAGTCAAACAGACAGGAAGTGATGCCACCATTGTAAAGCCCTGGGCTCCAGTCATTTGCCCTCTCCATCATCAACTGACCAGGGTCTTTCTCTTGATTTAGCTAGTAAATAATCAATGAGGTTATGAAATGTAATCAGAGAGGCCAGAGACAATGTACATCTTGGTATTAAATTAAAGGGCTATATATGGTTTACCAAAACAACAGAGATTTTTTAATTACAAACGTTTATGAGAGGGAAAAATTCCTTCTTAGCCTTGAATTTGATTGAACTATGACTCAACCAATTTCAGCTTATTGATGATGGAGAAACTGTTGTGTAAAACTTCAGATTAAATTATGGTGACCTAGTACAATTCAAACATACTTCGTACTCACAACGCATAAATGTAACTTTTATTTTGAACTTGAAAAGTCTAAATTATCTTTAATCCTCAAAAACTCCATGAAGTACTTTTAAGTTGTGATCGAAGTCATAAAATTAGCTCATTGCACAAAGTTCAGATAGTATTTTTCTAAATTGCTACTCTTAAGGTAGTTTAGGCTTAAGGTTTATAAGAGTGCAATTAAGTTGAGTTGTCTGATTTCTGTCCTTTCATGAATTTTTTTATACAAAAGTTATTGAAAGCAAATTCTGAAACAGTGCAATATAAAAGGATTCTAAAAACTATGAAGACATGCATATAACTATTCCGTCACTAGATTTTTGAATATCCTTGAGCTATCTTTATGTGAATTAGTGAAAAGACCTTTATGTTAGAGTCATTTAATTTTTTTTGTTGGCATAGAATTATAATTGTTGGAATTTAAGGGGCTTTTAGAGGTTATCTTCTCCAGCCTTCTCATTATACAGAGGAAGAAACTGGATCTCAAAGAAGTGAACTAACTTCCCAAAAACTGAATAGCTATTCATGGCAAAGTCCATGTGCTTTTACTTATACACATGTCTAATAAGGTTCATATTCATCTTAGAAGAGCTCTCACTGATAGTCTCTGAAAATAGTCCATGTGGATGGTGTTAGTGACATCTCATATTTCTTCTTCAGGGATGATCTAACTGTTATATCTGAAACGTTTATTAGGGACTTTTTGTCAGTGATGTAATAAAATAGTCTGGAACTACAACAGCAGAACAAGATGGGACTTTTTAATAAACACTTTTAAATGACAAGAGGAAAGGAGATGTCAAGTGAATGAATTGTCCAGTAGCTATAAATAAATTTGAAATTCATAGACTGGGAAGGAGCCTTAGAGATCAAAAGTCCAACATCCTCATTTCACAGGAGAGGAGAGGGAAGCTTAGAGTTGAAGATCATGTAACTAGTTAGCTGCCAAACTAGCATTCAACCTCTATCCTACTAAGAGATGCTGAAGATATTTTAGAATAAGTCAATTCTTTGAATGACTGTACTGGAGAGAAGACATATCTATGAGATCCAGTTGCATCCTCATATTGTTTATATTTTCAGGATTAGTCAGATTTTATTTTCCAGGAAGTCCTAAAGAGTAAAATTTCAGAATAAAGCTATATAAACCCTTTCATCATCAGAGAACAGAACCCATGGTCCTTGCTGGAATTCTGCCAGGGCATGGTATTATTTGGTGGGGAAGGAAATAAACAAAACTATGGTTCAAACTTGAACTTTTAATAGTTCTTTTTTAATGGAGGTGAACATTTCAGAGTAAACTATACCCCAGTCATTTCCAATCTCCAGATGGAGGTATTTCATTACAGATATACTTGTATTGAAATATGATTTAAGATTTTGTGGTCCTGTACCTAATATTTGTCTATGAATTTGGCTAACAACTCCCTACAGGACTGATCACTATTCTTGCTGTCATCAACTATTTGTATAATGTGTTATTTAACCCTGTATTAAGAATGATAAATATTTTTCTTAAACACCAAATTTCCTGTAGTACCTCAGCTCAATCCACCATTTGCCTTTCTGCTGCTGTTATTCTGTTGACATGTGTCATATATTCTTTAGAAGACACAATTGGTGTTGATATGTCTCATCCGTATACTTGGAGAATCTGGTTAAAAATTTCAGGGGCTTAGGAAATTGCAGTTAGCGAAAAATGAGAGGAAAAGTGATCAAAGAGAACACTTAACTGCTCTTTTATAGTTATTGTTAGACACAATTTCCAAGTTGTTAACCTTAAAATATCATAGGAGGGGCTACAGAAGCCAAGAAAAATTACATGTGGTATTCAGTTTGACTCTTTGTTCATTGGAAATAAAACTAATACTCCAAATACAAAGTAATCCATTAGATGAAAAATAGCCTCTATCTTGCTATTAAGGATCCTCATATGCTTCAAAAGTTAGTGGGAGCATTATAACAACATTTTTGCCTCACAGGAACTGTGGTGGGTAAGTGTGTCTCATGACATTCTACAGCTCTCATTATTTCAAAATTGAAGGATTAGGATCCATAACTGGTTTAAAATATAAGCCATGGTTATATTCATTTAAACTGGACTAAAAGCTTAAATGACTTTTAATGGTCAAAATATTGATTGACAGCAGCTGGTGCACTTAGTGCTGTTCACTTAGAGCCCCATATCCCTTGCTCATTGTTTGTAAAAAAAAAAAAATTGCTCCCTCTTCCCTGATATCATTAAGAATTCCATTAAACAATACTGGGGGCTCCCATATTTTATAGGACATTCAAAATGCCATGCCTTTGACCTTTAGGATCTGAGTTCAGGGACAGAACAATTAAAACCTCTTAGAATTCTACCTTTTATTTCATGGCCTTACAATATAAGGGACAATCTCTGAATCCATGTGGAATTTTGCTCACTGTTTAGTGGGCAAAAGGGAAATTTCAAGCCACAAAGTTTAAATTTTGAATTCATTAAACTATGTTACATTAAACTACTAAATTATGTCTGACCCTCTAATTGTTTACTTCACAGTTTAATAGGGCCAATTTAGTTCACTCAATAGCACGTTTTCCAAGATTTAAAGAAAATACATAGTGAATGACCAAGGTTTTAAACGTGATCCTTCTTGAAAAATCATAAGGCATTAATTTCATCATAGCACTATTTGGAGGTTACTCAGGATAAAATTGGGTTACTCGACATGGTGTGGCTCCACTCTACAGATCATTTTGCTGGGCTCTAATCCAGCCCTACATCCTTGACCGCCAGGCCCATAGATGTTTACTACCACTCTAAAACCTTCCCCCTTCCTGGGAGGCCCTTCTGAGGCTTTTATTATTCAAATGTGTCATACTTTACAGATAAAGCACTGGAGGCTCTCTTGGGGATTTGGGTTTTTAAGTCCTGATTATTTTCCTTTTTTTTCAGTAGCTAGATTCACTACTTTTGGCAAGTGACTTAACCTCTGGCCTTTTCTCATTTATAAAATGAGAAAGAAATGAAAGAAATCGCTAAACTCCTGTCCAGCTGCAAAAGTCTCTCAAAATTCAGGGAAAGACTTTAGCCACTCCAACCCAAACCAGTAACTGTCTTCCCAGAACCTTATATAATATATAATAATATTCAGACCTGTCTCCCAGATGCGAGATTTTAGTTAATGTTATTTCAACACTCTTAGGTCTTCATTCTCATTCTGATTTTTAATGCGTGCTCAGTAAATCCTCTTGAATTCCTGTCAGAAAGGTGAGGAGAACAAGTTATACCATCAGAACATTGAGGGCTGGCTGCAGATGCAGGGGTTTATGTTTGCATGTCATGTGAAAGTCAGAATGACTTTGGTTTAATTTGAAGGGATTGTAGGGACGGTAATCAG